ACCTGCAGGCCAAATGACAACAATGCACCCTTGGGATCAGACACCCCCAGGTGAGCAAATCGCCTGCTCTCCCTTACCAGGCCTACCGCACTCACACATGTTGTGTTTGCGAGCGATGTAACGCAGGATGGCATTGCTCTGGGTGATCTTGTTATTCCCATCCATGAGGTAGGGCAGCTGGAAGGGCAAGGACAGGCCAAGTGAGCAACCTACATCTCTTGTGCCTCCCCACCTCTCTCCTGGGGGAGAGGGAGTTTGCAAGGCAGTGAATAGGAGAGAAAAGGTGCCATGGTGTGAGAAAGAAGAAAATCCGGTGGCAGCTGGGTGCTGAGCTGAGTCTAGCAAGGATCCTTAGGCTCGTGTGTGTGCATGTGTGTGCAGGCCACAGCACCTTTCTCAGAATAAGCTTTCCAAAACCATAAAGCCAATTCATGTATTTACACAAGTATAAGACATTTTAAAGCAAAATTATGATAGGAGGGTACTTCAAAAAGTTTCTGGATTAATGGAAATACAAGAAAAGTTTATTTTAGTGCAAAAAAATCTTGAAATTCATGCATACTTTTTCATATTTTCCATCCATTTTTGCATGGATTTCAACATTTTTGCACCAAAATAAACCTATCTTTTAATTTGCTTGCATGGACTTTTTGAGATATCCTCACAGTAAAACGTGAATATGTGTGGCCCAGCAGAAGTAAGAGCGACCACACTTTCAAAGTAGCGAATATAAATATGCCCACAGCACATTTAATGGAATATGGAGACTTGATCCCTACCAGTGACAAACACAGTCATGGTTAATAACTGACATCACTTCACCACAGGAGATGCTAACTTGTTAGTGGAAAGGAAAACATTTTATTTTCTCTCTGCAGCTCAAGGATCCTTGAGTCTTATCCATCCAGGTTAAACGCCCCTATGACCCTGCCCCTCGGAGCAGGAAGAAGCCGCGGGGATGGATACCCGTCCAGGCCTTCCCTCTGCTCCCTCTCCCCCTAAAGCCACCTACATTGGGAAAGTCCAGATCGAGCTTGAATTTCACATCCAGCCATTGGCTTCGATCATAGTCAGGAGCTGTAAGAGAGAGACGTTAGGGGCCCAACCTCCTGAATACCCTGCCTAACGAGGAGTGCAAAGAGCCAAAGAAATGGCTTAGTTTCTTTACCTCAAATTCCCAAGGCTTAACCATTTCGTGTCTGGGGCCCATCTGGTTAAGCATTTAGGCGGGGTTTGGGCAGAGGATGCGGCTCTCCTCCCACAGGGCACAGCAGGGCTCCCCGGGTTTCGGGGGTGGGGGGACGTCCCGTGGGACCTCGGCGGGATGCCACTCTCTGGGCACAGCGGGCAGGTGGAGGGCCAGCTCCGGGCAACATTACCTTCGCCGCACGTGTACCGTTTCTCCTCGTAGCAAGTATCAGTGAACTCCAGCAGCAGGCGGATGGCGTGCGCCAGCTGGGGGAAGACAGCCCGGAGTCGGCGCCTGCGCGGCCGCCACCGGCTCCCAACCCCCGCCCGCCAACGTCCCCCGGCCCCGGGCTGCGGGGCCCCTGCATGCCGCCCGGGCGGTCGTTAAGCGGTCCCCAAGCGCGGCCCCGGCGGCCCGCAGCCCCCCGCAGCCCCCCGCAGCTCCCCGCGGGGCCGAGCGCGGCGAGAGGCATGGCAGGGGCGGGCCGGGGGGCCCGGCGGCTCGGCCGCGGCTTCTTGCGCCGCCCCGCGCTGACGGGCTCCGGAGGAGGGCGGCTTCTGGCGGAGGCCGCGGACCCGCAGAGACGCTCGGCCGGCCGCTGCCACGGCACTCACCCCCCGGATATCCCAGTAGCCGAGAAGCATAGATGACGTGGACGACATGGTGAGCCCGCCACTTCGACGCCAGCGAATCTTTGACGACCGGCGGCCGGCAGGCAGAGAGGGTTTATAGTCGACGTAAGTGGGTGGGGTCAACGTGAGCTCCTTGTCTTCGCCCCTCCGCCCTCGAGCGCCCTCTCCGCGCGCCAGCGGGGCCACGCGCATGCGCGACTTCTGTGGGTCCTGGAGTTCGGGGCCCGGCGACCCCAAGAACCCTGTGGGAGTGCGAGTGAGCGCGGCGTTGAGACTCCACGCTTAATCCATTAAAAGTGCCAGTCAAGGCGGGAAGTGCACCAACACCTAGGCAGTAGGGACCCTAGGGACATGACCTTGGAAGGTGAAATCCATACCATACTTACCGTATTTACCAGGCAGGAGAATGGAGTGGGATGGGAGGGCTGGGGCAGTCCCCCAGAGTCGGACTGCCAGCCAGTCTTTGGGGTGAAGGGGCAGGGGAAGAAGAGGATGAGGACCAGAAACCCGTTAATGACAGGTAGGAAGCATTCGAGGCAGCGGGCGTCGACCTCAAGTACTGTGGAGCGAGAGAGCTCTTCTGGGCAGCACAGGTGGTTCTAAGAGGGTCACAGGGAGGAGGTGGGCGTCGGAGCAAGGCCACTGGGAAGGGATAAGCTCTGGACACTAGGAGTGCAGTTCCAGGCAGGAGGAAGGCGGAACACTGGTTAGGGGTGGGGGGGCGGCAAGTCCTGCAGATGCACGAGGCTATGATGGGGCGCAGGGAGAGACACAGCTGTGGGGCCGGGTGGCCCAGGACTCGGACTGCCGGGGAGGGGGTGGGGTTCGGATGTTTTTCCTCTGCTCTACAGGGAGTTTTTGGATCTCCCCCTATCTGACAGAAATAGAATGCAGGCCACACATAGGACTTAAAGAATTCTGTTTCTAGTAAAAAGAAACAGGTGAATCGATTTGAATAGCAGATTTTCTTTTAAGTCTGTATATTCCCCAAATAGGACAATCTCAGCCTGTCACTAATATAAGTAGGACTGAGATATTCTTCCGCTGCTTTTTTTTTTTCAAGATTTATTTATTTACTTGAAAGTCAGAGTTACACAGAGAGAAGGAGAGGCAGAGAGAGAGAGAGCGCACGACATAGCAGAGAGCTCGATCAGAAGTGGAGCAGCCGGGACTCGAACCAGTGCCCATATGGGATGCCAGCACTGCAGGCGACGGCTTTACCCACTACAGCACAACACCAGCCCCCTTCCATTGCTTTTTTAAAACACATCTTGAGTCATTCTACCCACATTTCACTTGCTCAGTGGCCACATGTGGCTTGTAGCTGCTATATTGGACAACACAGGTTTGGATACGCTGCTGAAGTGAGTGATACTGTCAGACTCTGCATCCGGGAAATTAATCTAGCTTCTTTGTGCACGATGGATTGGAGGAGGGACGAGGCTGTCATGTTTCATTTGCCCCTGCAAACAGCCCCCCAACAATGTGTATGAACATGCCTGTTAGGGCAGGCACTGATTACAAAGTTGAAATCAGCGGCCCCAAATCCCTGCCCTCAAGAAGGTGACATTCTAATGGAAAGATGCAGAAATAAATGAATATGTTGTAAGTCAGCAAGTGGTCCACATCCCGTGGAGAGAGAAATAAGGCAGAGATGAGAGAGGAAGGGTGTTAGGGTGGGAGTTGGTGGAGCCCCAGCAGGAAGGGGATTTGTGTTCTAAAAAGTGTGTTCATGGAAGGCGTCCCTGGGATGCTGACCTTTAAGCAAAGATGTGCAGGAGATGAAACATCCAACCACTCTGTCGTGGGGGCCACCGTGGCCGCAGGAGACCAGGGAAGCTCCAGGCAGAGGGGAGTCAGCACCGCACAGACAAGAGCGCCATGGGAGCGAGAGTGGCAGGGAAGAGGCAGGGCTGCGGGCTGGGGTGGCCAAGAGAACCGGAAAGAACTGGCAAGTGGGAGAACCCGGGAAAGCACTTGCAGGTGTTTGGAGGAGGGAGTGAGCAACCACCTCCCGCGTGGCAGAGAGGTCAGATAACGTGGACACTGAAAATTAACAGTGGAATCTAGCAGTGTGGGTGGCCTTGACCGAGCAGGAGGCTGCGGGCAACCCTGCAGCCCCGGGAGGAACCAAGCTTCTGAGTGTCCGCCTGGGAAAGCAGCACAGAGTTGCAGCCAGTCCAGAGAGCTAGGACTTGTCAGTTGGCTGGGGGAGGGGGTGGGGGTGGGGAGAGCAGAGTTCCTACCTGGCCTCCCTGCTGGGCCTCCATAGCACGCTCTGCTCTGAATTTCCACTCCCCTAGCCTGGGTGTGGGGAATCACATTCGTTCATTAGTTCATCTGGAGCAAAGTTGGGACTTTTTAAATGGACATTTCAGTTAAAAAAAAAAAAAGGAAAAAGTGCAGATCGCATGGGGGTGGGGGTAGATGAATGTATGCAGCCCGGGCCAGCGGCAACCTAACCTGGGGTGCATGGTTGGCATTTCCCAAGCCCCAGTGACTAGCCAGGCAGTGGACTCAGCCTCCCATCTGCGTCAGCCGATTCATTCAGAGGTAAGCGTCCCAAAACAACCTTGTGAAGTGGCATTGTGCCCATTTTATCCAGGGAGAAACTGAGTCCTGAGGAGGCTGGGTGAGCTGCGTGAGTCCCTGCGGGTGGCCCGGGATTTACAGCTAGGTCCGTGTGATGGTCTGGCAAGTGCTGGGTCCACTGTACACGGCTACACAGACAGCCCCTCACCCCGCCCCAGTCTTCTCTGAGGAATCTGGGGAGCACTGGGCAGAAGCACTTTGTTTTTCTGGTTGGGGTGGGGGGCAGGGGTCCCTGCTTCTAGGACTCCTGCAGCTCTAAGAAGCCAGGGCAATGGGTTAACATCTCTTTTTCCCCACTCCAAGAAATTAACTCTTCTGGTCAGATTTGCCCTGCAAGGGTCTCGCTTTTTCTCTTTTTCGCAAGGGCAAGTTTTTGCTTCCCTATTCTGGGTAACCAGATGATTTTCCAAGGCCAGGGATTTGAAGGAATGGCATCGGCAGCTGGAAAACAAACAAACAGAGAAAGCTGGGCCCTAGATGATGTTAGGGCTGTGAACAAATTCAACAAAGAAAAGACTTAAGGGAACATCTTTTTTTATATATATAAAACTTTTATTTAATAAATATACATTTCAAAAGTACGGCTTTTGGATTAGAGCGGTTCTTCCCCCAATAACCACCTCCCACTCACAAACCATCCCACCTCCTACTCCCTCTCCCATCCTATTCTTCATTAAGATTCATTTTTAATTATCTTTATATACAGAAGATCAACTCTCTATTAAGTAAAGAATTCAACAGTTTGCACCCACACAGACACACAGAGTATAAAGTATTGTTTGAAGACTAGTTTTACCATTAATTCTCGTAGTACAACACATTAAGGACAGAGATCCTACATAGAGAGCAAGCGCACAGGGACTCCCGTTGTTGATCCAACAATTGACACTCTTATTTATGATGTCAGTAATCAACTGAGGCTCTTGTCATGAGCTGCCAAGGCCATGGAAGCCTCTTGAGTTCACAAACTCAGACCTTATTTAGACAAGGCCATAATCAATGTGGAAGTCCTCCCTTCAGGGAAAGGTACCTTTTTCTTTGATGGCCATTAAAGGAACATCTTAAGAACCCTTAATAGGCCCTTGAGTCCAAAAGTATCCCACCCCTTCTTTGTGGATTAAATCAATAACAGCATAGCTGCTGTTATGTAGAGAGGAGAGCCCATGGCAGTTTTGAGTTCAATTTTTATTTAATAAGTTTTATTTAATTTTATTTAGTAAGTTTTATTAAAAAAAGCAGAAAAACCACAGAGCATCCAAACTCTTAAGAGTTTGTGCAAACGGGAGCCCAGGGAGTGGAGTTGCTGGAGTCCACTCGGCTGGTCGGTGCCCTTTGGACTTCCAGTCCAGTGTTCCTTAGGATCCGCCACCAGAGGCAGAAACAGCAACTGGGGAGGGAACCCAGGGTTGGCTCACCCAACAGAGGAGGCCGGAAGCTGTGTCAAAGGTGGATGTTCCCAAGTGGAGCCTGGTGCACCTGGCTCGCTGGCTACTGCTCCACCGGTCCCCCGGTCCATGCCATCAATGCAAACCTGTGGTGCTCGGCCTCTGTGAAATGCCGTGTTCACAGCCACGCTGGGTGCCTGGGGACTTGCTGGGAGAGATGTACACGGCACAGCCGTGGTGGAGACAGGGACGCCTGCTTTTGGAGGCTCTTTAGAAAGAGAGTAAGAAGGCTCTGGAGTCGAATTCTAGATTCTGGCTCCCAGTGGCAGGTGGCACTGTAAATGCCCACTCACATGGAACTTCCTGGCTTCCTGAGGGATGGGGCATTCTGCTGTCTCAGGCCCAAAGCCCCTGCCCTTCCTGCCTCCCTGCCTTTGGCTCCCACCAGGCCCAGAAGAAGCTGCAGAGGAGGCCATGGCAGGCTTGAAGATGCTTTTATTGGGAGGGAGAGTCCTAACAGACTCCAGGCTGAGGGAAGAGGGAAAATAAATAGGTGGGAAGCCAGGAAGGGCTCCCAGCACAGCGAGGAGGGGCAGCATTTGTGTCAACCTCGGGGGCTGCTCCTCTTCTTTGCTCCGTGAACCGGGCGCACAGTTTGCTGCAATCCAGGGATCCAGAAGAGGAATTCTCGGGGCTGTGAAGGCTTCGAATCCTCTGGCATGCGAGAGGTCCTTGATCCTGGAGACTGTGAGCTGGTCCCTAAGGGTTCAGCTGGGGAACAAAGAGGATTCAGCGGAGGCTGGCGCCAGGAGAGGCCACGCCCAAGAGCGTGAAGCCCATCCCGTGAAGGATTACCCTGTGCCCACTGCTGGCCCAGCCCCTGCATCCTGGCTCCCCAGGCGGGACCGGACCCTCCCGCGGGCAGTCAGGACCCCAGGGTGTCCTCACCCCCAGCATCCTTCTGACAGCCTCCAGCCTCGCCAGGACCCGGGGGGCATCCTGGGGACACAGCAGCTGGAGCTCCCCAGGCCGCAGGCGGAGCAGCTGGCTCCCGGTCAGGAAGCCCAGGCTCCGCACCGTGCTGCGAACAGAACCCGCAGAAGCCCTCAGTGGTGCAGTGGGAGGATGTGGGTGCAGAGAGGACTGCTTGGGCTTGGGGACTGGGGCTATGGGAGCGGTCACGGAGCAGGGTATTTGGAAGTGAAGGTACAACGTACGCACTTTGGCTTAACCCAGGGTCAGCACTCCCAGGCTGGAAGGGAGAGATTTCTGAAGGGGAGGTGTGGCTGAGCAGTCAGTGCAGGGTCTTCCTGGGGTCACGGCCCTGATCCCAGCTGCCCTCCCCAGGGCAGGGGCTCCACATCTGATGCTCTAACCGCGGCTTCCTAAGCTCCCCACCCTTCCGCATCCTCTTCTCTGCAGTGGTGTGCAGGACGGGTTTGTCATGCCACTGGGCAGGCTGGACTCTCTGGGCTGGGTCTCTGGCTGCCTTGGTCCCTTATAGAGGTGACCTCTGTCACACCTGCCAGGGCCAGCACTCACATGGTGGAGAAGTTTTCTGCCTGCAGCCAGGCTGTGACCTCCTCAGGCTTTGAGCTGAGCCGAAGCATCGTAGCCTAGAATCGGGGGAAACCTGGGGTCAGAGGCCATCCCATCTCACAGCCACCCAGAGTTCCTGACATCCGGGTCCTTTGTTTGGGCTCCCACCAAATCATGTGTCTCACTCCCATAGGCTCTGTGGTCTAATGGGGACCCTGGCTTGTATCTCCATCCACCCTCTGATTAGCTTGGCACAAGGAAACTGGCAGTGTTATGGATCAGATCCGCCCAGCACTTCTCTCCTCCATGGGTTAGTGATCGCTCCCCACCCCCACCTCCGTCTCAGGGCTGGATGGTCTAGGGTGGGCTGTACCCGAGAGGATGGCTGGCCCTGGCCCCCGGAGCCCCCCGCCTGCAGGGGCTCCAGGATGTTGCTGGGGACGTAGCCTCTCTTTCCCTCCTGGTTCTTCACCAGCCACCACCGCTTGCTGTAGTCCAGAACCTGCCAAGAGTCACCACGCCGGTCACCCTGAGCCACTGTCTGGCCTCCCCTCTTCCCACTTTGCCCCTGCCCATTTTCTGTAGGCCACCCCCCTGACAGCCTGGGGCCGGAACCCCTGCCCTAGGCTGCCCATAACTCCCCACCCACCTCCACCCTGTTCTCTAGCCTCAAAGCCCAGGCCTCACCTCCAGCTCCTCTCCCTGGACCACAGTCAGCTCCTGTGTGTTCCTTGCTTCAAACTCATACAGGACTTGCATTTTCAGGGTGGGCTTGCCAGGTTGGAAGCTGGGGGCCTGGAGGTTGTGTGTCTCCTCTTGATCTAAGTTCGAGGGGCTCTCTAACCCAGGACGTCTGCCACAAGGGTCAGAGTCAGGATGGCTGTGGACACCGACTCCCCTGTGCCAGCCCCAAGAGCCCTGGCTCTCTGCTGCCCGCATTCTGGTGGTGACTTGGGGGTCGGCAGCTTGGGGTGGGGGCTTCTGCAGACAGGAGGGGTCTGAAATAGCACTGATCTTTGTGTCTTTCTTTCCTGGTCGTTGACTTCTGGACGTATTTCCCACTGTGGAGTGTACAGTCGAGCTCTGCCCTAAGCACTTTATTCCCGAGCTCTGGGAAATCAGAAGCAGGTGCAGCCTCTCTCAAGGGGAAGCGGCTGGAGCCTGGGAGGGCCAAAGCTGCTTTTGCGCACGAGGGGAGGGAGGGAGGGGTGTGTCTGTGCATGTCGGGGCTGGCTAAGGGAGAGCCCTGAGGGTCTCTGAAGGGCGGACAACCAGATCTTAGCCCTGCTCCACCCCCTGACTCAGCCCCCCCATGACTCAGCCCAGAGCATACCGATGGAGGACAGAGTCCTGGTATCCTAAATGTGTCTGTAAGAGAACAGAGAGTGAGCAAGAATGGAAGGCAGCCCGCACAGCGACCCGGGATATCAGCCCACAGCCCACTCACTCACAGCAGCCTCCCGCCTCGCCCACCAACAGATGCAGCAGGCACCCACTTGAACCTACCCCATGTGGCCACGTTTGGCCTGTGAGGGCAGAAACTCGCCAGAGACCAGGGATTTGCACTGGGCTCTGTGCTGAGCTCTCCTCACCTGGAAGGAGGGTTCTGGAAGCTGCCAACCATCAGAGAATGTGGGTTGGTAGGGCTCGGGCTCCTTGCCTGTCCAGTCGGCCCTGGGGAGGGAAGAGAGCTGGGTGGGTGTCTGGCATGTAGCACAGCGAGCCTAGCCTCAGGGATGTGCCAGCTAAGGGGCACACAGCCCAAGCATGCAGGTCAAAGGCCCAGGACACCCACAAGGCAGCCAACGGTTACACATGAACAGATTCCTCCATGTGAGTGTCCTGGGCCAGCCTCTCTTGGGCCCACGGAGTGCAGATTTGAGACCGCCAGAACCCGGTGGACACTTTAGTGCCCTGATTGGGGTTTGAATTAAAGTGGCAGGAGCACAGAGCAGCAGGGCTGCGCTGGCCCCTTGGGATCTTGTGCAATGTCTGTCTAGCCTGGGTTTGCCCTCCCAGCCCCAGAGCTCACTCTTTCTAACTACATGGAGGGCAGAGCTGCTCTGGTTGATCTGGGCGGGGCTGGTCTTGCCCTTCAGCCTCCCGCGGTCGCACAGGGCCGGGGAGTTTCATCGCTGCTGGAGCTTGGATAGCCTCCACCTGCCGTCTCTGGCAGTGCCCACTCGGGCTTGAGGAAGTGCGGCTTCCCGCCTCAGGGGGATGCAGGCGAGGATGTCGGCTGAGCTTGGGACACCCATGGAGGGTTGCACGTGGTTCTCACAAGCCTGCATTCCTCCCAGCAGAAGAGGACCCCTGCGGGCGGCCTCTGAAGGCAGTGGCTGGGACACTAATCTACCGTTTAGTTCATGGGAACAAATAACTGTTTTCTGAATCTTAATGCGTTCCTTCCCTTGCTCTTGGGAAGACCCGGGCCGTGGTTACGCCTCCTTCTGAGCCTTCTCCGGGCCAGGTTTCTCAAGTGTGCTTCTGTCTCCTGCCAGCCTTCCCTCACCTCCGGTCCTTTTCGTGACCCCTGTACCCTGACTGCCGCCACTGCGGTTCCTTCATTGGAATCCCGACTGCCAATCCAGTGGCTTTGGACGGTCGCCATCCGAACTTCGGGATGAGCCCAGCATTTTTTGTAGCTTTGGGTCAATTTGCCTAGAATCAAGCCACCTAAATATAATTGCCTGAAATCCATCTCTTTGGAGGGTTTTTACATATCTTTAGTTAGTCTAGTTTTTTTTTTTAATTTTGCTTCATTTCTTCATTTCTTTGTTCAGTTCTGATTATTTCAAGAAATTAGAAACATCTATGGGTGCATCTGATATTATATTTTAAATAAGTATCAAATGTCCACATTCTATGAATGCTACAGTTATCTTGCATCTTTGTGTGTATTTTAGAAAAATTCTCTCTGCTGATGTGTTTTTCAAATTCTTGAAATAAGGCTGGGTTTTGAAACACAGAATGATCTGTCCAGCTTAGTTATTTGATATTAAAGTGGCTGAAGCAAACGACTTAAAGAAAGCCCTTTCATTTGAGTCCATTTCCCAACCCCTGTTTTCCTTGCTTGCTAGTGCAAGGCAGGTGCCAGGGCAGGCAGGCAGGCAGATACCCCCACAGGCAGTGTGAGCCCGGCGCAGCTGAGAGCGCCCATGAACTCTGAGGCTGCCTTACACGGCTCCGGGAGTTCCCAGGGTTCTGGGCCCTGAGCGCCACTATGAAGTGGGAGGCCCAGAACCCACACGTGGTTCAATTTTGGTTAGTAGTCTGAGAGAGCGCATAAAAGTACGTTCTTTTGTGGCCTGTGTGGTGGCATAGTGGGTAAAGCTGCCCGTAAGGATGCCGCTTGGAGTCCTGGCTAATCCACTTCTGATCCAGCTCCCTGCTCATGGCCTAGGAAAAGTAGCGAAAGATGGCCAAGTGGCTGGGCCCCTGCCATCCATGTGGGAGACCCGGAAGAAGCACCTGGCTCCTGGCTTTGGCCTGGCCCAGCCCTGGCCGTTGTGGCCATCTGGAGAGTGAACCAGTGCATGGAAGATCTCTCTCTCTCTCTCTGCCTTCTTAACTCTTTCCTCTCACTGCCCCCATGTGTACTTCCCAGGCCCTGCTCTCTTCTCTCAGGGAATGCTGCAGATGGGGCTTGGTGGAGCCTTCCAGGGCTCCCACGGGGGTATTCACCTCCAGCTGTGGCTCCAGCTGCCCCCTTCCCAGCTCTGCCACACAGCTGGGCGGACCTCTCAGCCCAGGACCCGGCCACCCCGCGCTGGAGGAATGTGGTGCTGCCAGCTCAGCGCGGGGTGTGCAGCCAGCCCCGTGCCCCTCTCCCAGGACGCCCAATGACATGGCCTCCACTCACGACTCCCCATCCCGCCAGTGTCCCAGAGCCCACCCTCCCTCTCCACTCCCTGCCAATCGGGTGTGGCATCTCCTACGTCAGTGATTCTAAACCTCTGGGCTGGGCTGCGACCAAGTTTTCCTTTTGCCCTTGACAGAAAGGAGAAGAGGTTTGAGTGGCAGGTCGCCAGCTCTCCTTTCTTGGGAAGAAGTGCCCCTTTGCCTGAGGTGGTCTGTCCTGAGGAGTGGGTGATGGTAAATGGGTGGCGCTGGTGTTTCAGGCTTCACACTGCACCTAACAGTTGGCCATGCATCATGGTTGTGGAGTCCCCCACATTGCTTTGACATCTTCCTGGTTTTTGGTGGTGCATAGCCTGGCTTCCTCGTACATCCCGCCCAATGCCCTTGGGGCCCTCACCCCCAGTGCAGGTCAGGCCTGGTCTTCACTCACCGGCTGGTGGTCCAGGCTGGGCCCAGCCCCTCCCAGAGGTTACTCTCTGTGGGGCTTAGACAGGACTGCAGCAGGTGGATGGCTTTGGGGGTGAGGAGCGGTGAGATCACTTGTGCTGCTAGGCCAGCCTCAGGGCACTGGGCCAGGATCTGGGGGAGGGAGGGACAGTGTCAGGGAGCCGAGGATCCCACCGGCCCACAGGCAGTGGGAAAGGGCCCAGAGTCCCTGGCCTCCCACGCTCACAAGGGAACATCTGCCCATCGGCCTCAGGCCTGTGGCTCCTTTTCCTGGTGTCCTTGGGGCTGCCCCTGGCCCATGGAGTCTGGGGGGGGAGGGCAGGGGGCACTGTGCACGCCAAGGGTGGTGTCTGGGGTCAAGGAGAAGGAGGGTGCGTGGAACAGGCCCGCAGCCCCCCTGCCTCTGCTCCCGCCTCCCCTTCACCAGCCCGCTGCCCTCCTCCTGCTCCCTGGCCCTCTCCACCACGCTGGTCTACCCCGGCTCACAAATTCCAGGGTCTGGAAGAGGATGTGCACGAACTCGGGGGCACTGGTCTCCTGCAGCTCCGTGGTCAGCTTCCCCTGGGGACACAGGGCACCGTCTGTTCCCCACCTGTACCCCACCCCACTGTCCCCAGGACCCCAGTGCCCTGCTGGGGAGCCTGGTATTCCCCTGAAGTGCCGAGAGAGGGAGAAGCTGGAGAAGGAAAAGGCTGGGGTTGGCCGGAGGGCTGCCCCGGCCGGAGGGCTAGGGGTCTCTCGGGGAGCCACGTACCAGCAGGTTGAGGCTGAACTTGATCTTCTGGAAGCAGTCAATGTACTGCGCCTCTGTCAGCTCTGTGGGAGACAGGGTGGAGGTGGTGGGTCGCAGGTCACCCCACGTCACCCCCACAGCTGCCCGCAGCCCTCGGCACTCACCCTCCTGATCCTTGCTCTTTTTCTTCCCAAATCTTTTCTTCTTATGACTGCTCCTTGTTTGGGCCTCCTTTAGCTTTCTCATGAACAGCTCTATGTCCTTGAAGACGTGGTTCAGCACCTCCTGGGCCCCCAGCAACCCATGGCCTTGAGTGCGCCACCTAATGGCCCATCCTGGAACTGCCTCCCCTCAACACAAGCCCCAACCGCGCCTCCTGTCCCTCAGCCCAGAGCCTGCCCTGGCCATCTACAGGAAGAGGAGGCAGGGTTGGTGCCCTCGCTGCCCCCAGGCCCTGAGAGCCTCTGCAAGCCCCAAGACGCGTGCGGTTACCTCATCCCTCTCTGGGTCCTCGGGGGAGGGGGAGTGCCTTGGAGGAGGCAGAGCGAAGGCAGAGGGGTGGCGAAGTAGGGGCCCCGGGGACGGTGGCCTGCCTGCAATGCGAGGAAACCATGCACCTGCAGCATCTCTGATGTTTGATTGAAACCTTCTTCCCCACCTCCCACCCTCCACCCCCCACCCAGACTTACTGTTCTCTGGGGTCAGCTGGTGGGGCTTTTCTGGAAGTGGCCCCCGCTCCAGAGGGGGTGCCTGGGGCTTAGGGAGTGGCCTTTGCAGAGAGAACCCCCTCCATCTGTCCTGGCCTTGGAGGAGGCTTTCGAATCGGGGTCTGCTGAGGGCGTGGTTTGGAGACATGTCTTAGGCCCTGCCCACGCTTCTGCCCCAAGGCCCAGGGCCCCATGGCCTCTCTCTCCAGGAGCTGCCAGGTCTCCATCCTGACCCTCCCTGACCCCCCTGCCTCGTGTGCCCACCCCTGGGAGCTTGCGCATCCCCTGTGAATCTCTGGGGAGAATCTCTAGTACCCTCTGCACCTCACCTCTTCCCCTTGCCCATTTCTGCCTTGGCCCTTGCTCAGATATAGGACCAGTGTTTGCCCCCAGCCATGACCCTCCCCCACTCCAAGGCCTGAGCTGTGCAGCCCCACAGGTGGGCTGAGCACAGGCTGCCTACCTTTGCTCCAGCTCCTTGTCCAGGGCATTCTGCACGCTGAGCCTCAGCCGCTCCGCCTGCAGGAAGCAGTAGTTAGGCCGTGTGTGTGTGTGTGTGTGTGTGCATGCACTCACACACGTGCCCATGTGACATCATTGGACCCTACCCCAGGCCACTCACCCCCACTTCCTGGCACTGGAAGAGCAGAGTGCAGGTGCCTGGCAGGCCTGACTCCTGCACAGTGATAGACAGGATGGAGTTGTAGGAGCAGGTGTTGAGTGCCACGTCCATGGCCTTGATGCTGTCCAGGCGGTAGGAGTCCAGCTCCTCCTGATCCAGGTGCAGAGGCCAGCTGTGAGGACACTGGGAGCCAGGCTTGGCTCCTGAGAGCTCCTGATGCGAGCCCTTTGGTGGCCTGGGGCTAGGGTGTCCTCTAATGTGGCTCTGCCTCTGTCCCTAGCCCCCATCCTGTACCTCTTCTGAGGCCTGAGTGAGTATTGTAGATTGTATCGGGAAGCAGTGCTGTTCTTTGGGGCATGGAGGGCTGAGGCCTGCCTTCCCACAGCAGGGTCCCACTGCTGTTTGGGGGTGAGGGCTGACCTTGGTCTCAATGTCCAGCAGCTGGAGCCAGCCGTCTTTGACTTGCAGGATCAAGTCTTGGCTCCACACCCGGCCCTGCGCATCCATCTCCTGCAGCTTCTGCAAGGCATCTTTGGGCTCCCGGATTCTCTGCGTGCCCAGCTTACACGTCATCAGGTGCTGAGGGGAGGGGAGGAAGAGGCCAGAGAGGCTCGAGGTGGGGCCGGGGGTTACTGATGATGGTGGGCTGGAGAGAGGCAGCGGAGGAGAAAGATCCCTGGCCCCTGGCTCCCCATAAAGCAGTCGCCGAGGGCCCGCCTGAGCGCCAGTGTGGAAGTGGTCAGGCTGGAGAGGGGGCCCGTGGGCGAGGGTGCGAGGGGCTACGCGCGGGGCTTGTGGACTCTGGGAGAAGGGGACTCGCAGCTGTGACAGTGCAGGCCCGGTGAGAGGCTGGGTGGTGGTGCATATGGGCCCCGGCCAGCCCACCAATGCCGTCTGACCCCTGTGCGTGCCAATAGGACCTTCCAACTGCCCTTGGCTTTCAACAGTCCAGGGGAGACCTCCCCGCCCCAGCCTGGCCCCCTCCTCACTGACCAGGTGTTCTTGTGTCCGCGCCTTCCCTCGTGCTGTTCCCCACACCCAGCTTCCATCCCCACATCTGCCTGTCGGTCACCTCCTGGTCCCTGGAGCAGAAAGCCCAGTGCCTCCCTCCCCTGATTCTCACCCTGGCAGGTGCCGACGAGCACTGTCTGCACATGCGCCCCATCTGCTGCTGGGCCATTCCTGGGCGGGCTTTCCTCATCCACCCCTTCTCCCAGCCTTCACCATGGCCCTCCGCCAGCCAGGGTTTCAGAGGCAGGAGGCCCAGTGCTGCCTCTTGTCCTTCCGTCCTCCCCAACTGCCCAGGCCCTGCCCCTCCTCCCGTGTCACACTGCCAGCATCCTCAGGGGACCCAGGCACCCTGACCCTGTCTCCTCTCGCTCTCTCCTGCTCAGCCTAAGCACAGCTGCTTCCCAGCCCCCACTGCACCTTGCAGCCTGGCGCTGCGTCCCCCAGTCTGTGGGTCTCCGGACCCTCGTCCCACGGAGCCTTCTCGGTTCTCCAGTGGAGTCCTTCCCTCCGAGGCTGCCCAGGGGCTCTTTCCACCCCAGCCACTCCGGAAGCTCTGGCCCAGAAACTGCCCTCCCTGACCAAGGCCCTCTCAACCCCTCACTGGCTGCACCTCTCACGCCTGCCCCTCTCCGGCCATGCTGGTCCTGGGCAGACATCGGCTCCCTGGGGCTTCTGTGCAGGGGTGGGGCAGGAGGTAGGCAGGGATGGGTGTGGGGGTGCAGGCACTTCCTGGGCCATCCTTGCTACTTCTTCCTTTCTGGAGACAGGCATCCACCCCCTCTGCCTCCAGCCAGGCCTGCTCCACCAACCCCGGGCTCCTGCTCCCTAATGCTCAGCCACGGCTCAGGCAGGCTTGTTGTGGGGGGCGGGGGTCTGGCTGGCAGGGACCTGGGTGAGCTGGCTGTGCTTTGGCAGTGGCAGGGGAGGGGGCTACATGGGAACTGAGACACTCACCTCCACCCTGTGCTGCAGCAGGGTGGGCTCCAAGGTCAGGCTCTGAGAGTACTCCTTCCGGTGCACTGCAGGGTGCAAGGCAGGGGGTGGTGGGTGTCACGAGGCAGGGACCAGGGCAGGGCGCTTGGCGGGCTCAGTGGCGAGCTGAGCGGAGGGGCGGAAGGGCATGGGGGTAGGGAGCTTACAGTAGATGGCTTTGCTGCTGGGCCGGGACATGTTGATTCTGCAGCAGACAGCACCCTTGGCCTAAACGCAGCCAGAGAGAAAGTCATCAGAGCCGGGGTAGGCGTGCCACATGGCGCATGCGCGGGGCCTTCGCAACCACCCCCCCACGCCCCTGAGTCCAGGGGCCTTTCCCAAGCCGCCTGCAGCCAGCCAGTGTCCGCTCTTCCACCTTGGTCTAAGGGACAGGAGGGCTGGGGAAGCTCCAGGCCTCTCGTTATGTGGGTCTGAGACCAGATCCTAGCCTGGGCGTGGGCATGAAAGGTGCCAGCTTAGTGGCTGCACCCAGCCTCATGGGGGAGGGCCACGGGCTGGGCTGTCTTCCCTGCCACGGCGAGCCCTCGTGTGCAACCCCACTCAGTGCTACCAACTGGGAGGAAGATGATGATGTCTGTGAGCTGGGGACCCTCTCAGTGTGTGTGTGTGTGTGTGCACATGTGTGCGTGTGAGATAGTGACTGCAAGATCTGTCAATCAGCGATCAGTGCTTCTCTGAATGCCTGACCTGGTCAGCGCCAACCCTGTGTCTTTCCATGCTCTGTCTCCTCCGCCCAGGGCCCCGGGCCACCTCTGCCCTTCAATTCCAGCTCACGGACCACCTCCCTGGTGAAGCCCTCCTAAGGCCACATAGACTGGTTGACTCCTAACAGCAGCAGTCACAGTGGCCACCATGGCTGGCGCCATGCCCCCGTCTACATCACACTGTCCCCCACTCCACTCAGCCAGCACCGAGCGCTAGCTTGACACCCTCCCCCCCATAATCAGGCCTGGAAACAGCCCCCAGGACGCGGGTGCTGTGAGCACCCCACTTCCCGATGAGGCCTGGGGGGCCCGATGAGGCCTGGACTCGTGACAAGGAGCTCCCACCGTTGGCGACTGTGCCAGCGCCACAGGGCTGTAGGCCGGTGCCCGCAGATGGAACACAGACAGTCGAAAGGGAACAGAATCACATTCAGCGCTCCTGAGTGGAGGCTGGGGTGAGTTCGTTCTGCGTGGCGGTCAAGGGTACCTCTGTGCCCTGTTCACAGAGGCCCGATGGGGTTGGTGGGTGACTGCGGCCACTCTGAAATACCCTGGGCAAAGTGTCAGCGAGAGGCCCACACCCTGCCCTGAGGACTGTTATGAAAATAGCCGAGGCCCTGATAAGAGGACAAGGTGCTGGAACATGAATCACCCGGAACCGCAGGGACAGAGGAGGCAGCAGGGCCTGTCCTGCTTGTTGGGGACAATCCCTTCCTCTCCAAGGGGAAGGCCTGCACGGAGGCTGCCACCCCCAACCCCCCCCCCCCCCCCCAGGCTGTGACACTTCTCACTTCTCCAGGTGTAAGGGAAAGTCTCTCTGGGCTGCTCAGCCCGGCTCCCTGCTCCCCTCCCCCCATGCCCCACTCCAGGGGGCTGTGGACAGGCAGAGGTTGGGAAGCCGCTGCTGCTGAAGATCCTGACCACAGGAGTGGGAGAGGGAGAAGGAGGGGCTGGCCATGGCCCGCCTTGCTGCTCGGACCGAGCAGGGAAATGATGACAGCCCCCCCCCCCCAGTACATTCCCCGAATGTGGGTCCTGGAGCCAGGGTGGGCATTTCTACCCCAGACACTGGTGGGAGCACCCCAGAGAGCTTTGTGGCCCCCTCGCTCTGCTCCCAGCCCACGGCCAGTGCCAAGTCTTCCTTGGGTTGATCCCTGGGGCTACATCTGGCACAGCCTGCCCGGAGACTCTGGAAATCCACCGCGCCACCCCCAACCCCCCGCATGGGCTCCCCACAGCGGAACGGCCCCCTGCCTTCCCCTGGGGGCCAGGTACTCACCCGGATGCCAATGTTGTTGGGGGCTGGTCCCCAAGAGGGGCCAGTGTCAAGCTGCTGCTGGTGGGCCGGCAGCGGCTTCTCTGCCTGTGGCCCTGGGTGAGCAGGCAGGCTGGCGGTGAAGAGGCTGTGGAGGTGGCCACACCTCTGCTCTTTGGACCCTGCTGGGCAAGAAGGCCTCCCAGGCACCACCCACCCAGCACCAAACCAGCGCATGGCAGCGCCTGTGGGGACGGGCGCCCTGGGCCCAGCTGTAGGCTGCTTGTCCCACTTCTCTGTTCTGCTGACCTCTGACCTGGGGTGCAGCCCCCTCTGAGGCCTGGGGTCAACACTGGGGCTGGGAGCAGAAGAGGACAGCTGTGGGCTGGCAGGTCTGGGCTCTGTGGGCGGGGTGCAGGTGGGCCGACAGCGGACCCTGGGCTGGGAGGAGGCTACAGGCTGGCGCGTGTGTCAGGGGCCTTTTTGGGAAGAGGGAGTTGGGGGCACAAGACCACCTGGGCTCTACATGTGAGTGGGGGCTTCTTTCCAGCACAGATTGTCTGGTTCTGTTCCTTCTGCCCCTCCTACATGCCAGGACCCCTCTTGCGGGCATTCTCGCTCTCCCACTCTCTTCCCAGCTCTGTCCCACCCTCTGTCCCAGAGAGAGAGAGCCAATCTCTTCCTGCCCCTCCTCCCCCTGCCACCGGGAGCTCATGGGCTGGCCCAGGAGGCCAACAGGGACCAAGGGAGCAAGGGAGGAGGGGTGCGGGAATGCCAGAGCTGGGGCGCGTCCCCGTGGGACAGAGGCTGCTGTCAGTCTGCAGTGGAGCCTACATCCGGCACTTCCCACCTGGCTTCCGCAGGGACAAGCCCAGGAGCCCTCCGCTCTCCACCGGTGGCCTGGAGACCAGGAAGTGGATCCCGGTGAGGGGCCTTCCCTGCTTGGGCTGGCCTGGGCATCCCGGAGTGGGGGTGTCCATTGGGCGGCTGACTCCTGGGCCCAGGGCTCAGGCGCCTATTGGGCCAGCATGGAGCAGAGCCCTCAGCGGCCCCAGGCCTGCCGAGCTCCCTGGCAGTCCTGCTACCCGCGTCTCAACCTCTTGTCCTTCCTTCTGCTTCTTCAGGACTGACCCAGCCTGGGTGCCGCCCCCAGCCCCAGCCCCTCTGCCATCAAGGCCATAGCCTCCCCCGCCTCCCCACCACCACCTCTGGCTTCGGTCCCCAGCTGAGCCCTTGCGACTGCCCAGCTAAGGCGGGCTTGGTCCTTCCCATGAGCCCCTCCCCAAGTCACAGTGACCACAGCAGGGACCCGCACAGAGGACCTGAGGGTGGGGAGGGGGGCGGCCAAGGCAGCCAAAGACCCATGTGCCATCTCTGGGCAGAGAAACACTGAGTGACGCCTGGCACTCTCAGCCTCTTGCACTCTGCAGTGCCCAGCAGGGGTGCCCAGGGAGCACCAGAGGCCTCCTTGGCGGGACCCCCTTGTGGTGGGGCAGGGCCTGGGGCTTCTTCGGTGCCAGGCATAGCAGGTGTCTGGAGGAGTGGAGCAGCACCAGGGAAGAGGTTTCGACAGGGAGCTCAGCAGGCCTGGGGCCCACGGGGCCTCGGCTCAGTGC